TGGCGTCGGCCTCCCCTGGTGACCGGAGGGGTTCCGCGAGGTCTCGCTACAAATCAAATGCAAGGATCACACTGGGGATGGGCGGTCAGGTGGCCCCTGGCCTGCTCCTATCTGGTGTCGGCCTCCACTGGTGACCGTTTGGGCTCCGTGGGGTCTCGCTACGCTGCCGTCCTCTTCGGTGCGAGGACTTCGGCATGCGTGGCTCTGTGCGCCCGTCGGCTGCTTTCTCCTACGTGGACTTCGCTTTCGACATGTGCCACTGCTGTACGAACAAGAGGTACTGCCGTGTGCAGTCCTGTCTGTGACGAGGTTGCCCCTCTTCGCTCTTGCGCTGACACGGTGCTGTTGTGTCGCCTACGGCACGGACGTCGTCCGGGTGTGCCTGTCGGTCCTGTTCGCATCGGGCCTTGTGCCGACTCACACCGGGTGATCGACCTCTGCGTGTTCATGGTCGCGCTGCCGCGCCATTTTGGCTGCGCCGACTTGATGGTCGCCACCGGGGTCTCCACGCCACCGGGTTGGGAGTGTTATTTATGGTTCTTCTTCCTTTGAGTGGCTGTCCGCGCGCTCGCCCTGCTTGCGTGTCTTCTTGCTGCCCAGTCGCGGCCCGGCTAGTGTTTGGACGGCTTTCGACCTGCTTCGCGAGCCCGCAAACCAAACATAATTCCCACCAGCCGACGTCGACATGTGCGTCCTGGTGTGGTCTACTGCCGACTTTCCATGCGCGTGGTCATTCTCTCTCTCACCACTTGCGTCGTAGTTGGCACCTCAGTGGGCGTGACTTCGGTGCTGGTCTGTGATGTGTCCCGCGCCATTTTTGTCGCACTGTGCCCAGTTCCGCTCTGCGCCTGGCACTTTTATTTTGTCTTGGCGCGGCCCACCGTACTTTGCACGGCGTTCGATTCGTCTTCGCGCGCCCGCGTACCAAAAGTATCCCCACCAGCCCATCTAGAAACACTTACTAGGGGAGCTGTTCGAACCAAGGCACTGTAGAAGATTCATTGGCTGACGCCGCGCCGCCGACCCCTTGGGGCGACAGTAAGCAGAAAAACGGAGTTTGCGGAACGCGCGCGGTTTCTGGGTAATCTAGGGGTTTCAGCTTCTTGGGATTTCGTCGGGGGCGGTTGGCCGATCGCGGCTCTGCTCTTGGGTTTCTTTGGGCTCTCCCGGCAGCACCTTTGAGACCTCTTGGCCTCTAGGGGCCTCTTTTGGGACTCTCGGGGGGGGCCTCGTGGGAACCCCTTGGGGGCTTCTTGGCGTTTCCTGTGTTTTTTTCGGGGCGTTTTCGAGGCGGAGTGCTCGAAGTGTCCAATCGGGTTCCCCCTCTTGGCCTCTTCCTGGGGCCGTCCTGGGGCCCTCCCGGGCCGTTTTGGAAGTTTCTGGGGTCGCCCTGGGGCCTTACTGTGTCTTCTTGGAGCCCTCTTGCGGGCCTCTGGGGTTTTTTGAGTCGATTTTGAAGGCTTCTTGGGCCGTTGTGGGCTTCGCGAAAGCCCGAGAGGCGAATGTGTCGAAACTAATACATTCACCTCTGGGAATGGAGCGGTTTTTGTTTCTGCAGGGCCTGCAGGGCCTTTTGTGACGCCTCTTGGTGGCTTCTTGGGGCGTTTGGGAGGCTGGAGGCAATCTTGGGCGTCTTGGAGCGCTCTTTGAGCGACCTGTAGCCCTCTTAGGCCGTTCAGGGGGCTTTTTGGGGGGCTCTTGGCCCGTTTTGGGGCCCCCTGAAGCTTTAAAGGTGCGGTTGGCACCTTTGCCTCCCGCCGCCCACCCACCCCCCAAACCGGCCGGACCGGGCTCCCGGGGTAGGGGTTCGGGGAGGGGGAAGCATCTCACACGCCGTGACCCCAAGGGGTCGGCGGATTGCGGGGGAACGGTTCTCTTAGGAGCGTGTCGGGGGCCCGCTTGGCTGCCAGCTGGGTGGGGGAGGGGTGTATACTAATAGGGAACAGTAATCAAGACACGCTCCTGGATGGCGAGCCGTCTAGTTCACTCCCACCCGCCCTCCCAACACCAATGTAACACCCGAGCCTCAGCATGTTAAGCGGTCGTCTTTGGATGGACAGCTATTGGGAACCAAAACCGCGCCCTTGTGCGCGACGCTGGGGCGAGGTGCGCAACGCGTGCCAGGCGCGCCACGCGCGCCAGGCACCCCTGGGGTTCGAGCGTGCCAGGCACGCCCTGTGCGCCAGATGCGCCTCGTGCCTCCGCGTGCGCCAGGTGTGCCGCAGACTTCAGCCGCGAAAGGTGCGCCATTTTGGGGGCACGTGCAGAGTTTGTCAGGTGCGCCTGCGCACGTGACAGCACACATCGGGCAATACGTCGGCCCTCACCATCCTTGTCGAATGCCAATTCCCAGCATCGTGCCTGGTGGTCCTGCGCACAGGCCGTGCGCCACCGCCCCCGCCGTCCCTGCCAAAAAAAAACCGGACAGTGATCGCGCGGTGGCCGCGCATGATCCAGATCCAGCCGCGAGGTGCATTATGAATTGTTGTTTCTTAGGGATGGTAGCCCTGAGCAGGCAATATGCTGACACCCCCGCCGTCCGTGTCAACCAGATAATACATTACCCTGGCGACGTACCCAACCCCTGCGCAATGCGGGGCATGAGTAGCTTGTCTGACGTTATACGGAGGTGATGACGTGACATGGGCGCGTATACTTCTGCGAGCGGCATTCGTGAGGCTCGCAGCCCCCAGGGACCGCGAGGCCCCGCTCAGATCTGCGCGGTGCCTCACTCCGCAGGACCCACCACCAGCCCTCGAAAGTGGCGACAGCTTCGCAGATCGCAGCCCCCCAGGCACGGCGAGGTCCCGCGCAGATCTGCGCGGTGCTTCACTCCGCAGGACCCACCAGCAGCCCTCGAGAGTGGCGACAGCTTCGCAGGTCGCAGCCCCTCAGGGACTGCAAGGTCCCGCTCAGATCTGCGCGGTGCCTCACTCCGCTGGACCCGCCAGCAGCCCTCGAAAGTGGCGACGGTTTCGCAGATCGCAGCTCCCCAGGGACCGCGAGGCCCCGCTCAGATCTGCGCGGTGCTTCACTCCGCAGGACCCACCAGCAGCCCTCGAGAGTGGCGACAGCTTCGCAGGTCGCAGCCCCCCAAGGACGGCGAGGTCCCGCTCAGATCTGCGCGGTGCCTCACTCCGCTGGACCCACCAGCAGCCCTCGAAAGTGGCGACCGTTTCGCAGATCGCAGCCCCTCAGGGACAACGAGGTCTCGCTCAGATGTGCGCGGTGCCTCACTCCGCAGGACCCAACAGCAGCCCTCGAAAGTGGCGACAGCTTCGCAGACCGCAGCCCCCCAGGGACGGCGAGGTCTCGCTCAGATCTGCGCGGTGCCTCCGCCACCAGCAGCCCTCGAAAGTGGCGACAGTCTCGCAGATCGCAGCCCCCCAGGGACGGTGAGATCTCGCTCAGATCTGCGCGGTGCCTCACTCCGCAGGACCCACCACCAGCCCTCGAAAGTGGCGACAGTTTCGCAGATCGCAGCCCCCCAGGGACGGCGAGGTCTCGCTGAGATCTGCGCGGTGCCTCTTTCAGCAGGACCCACCAGCAGCCCTCGAAAGTGGCGACAGTTTCGCAGATCGCAGCCCCCCAGGGACGACGAGGTCTCGCTCAGATCTGCGCGGTGCCTCACTCCGCAGGACCCACCAGCAGCCCTCGAAAGTGGCGACAGTCTCGCAGATCGCAGCCCCCCAGGGACGGCGAGGTCTCGCTCAGATCTGCGCGGTGCCTCACTCCGCAGAACCTACCAGCAGCGCTCGAAAGTGGCGACAGTTTCGCAGACCGCAGCCCCTCAGGGACGGCGAGGTCTCGCTCAGATCTGCGCGGTGCCTCACTCCGCAGGACCCACCAGCAGCCCTCGAAAGTGGCGACAGTCTCGCAGATCGCAGCCCCCCAGGGACGGCGAGGTCTCGCTCAGATCTGCGCGGTGCCTCACTCCGCAGGACCCACCAGCAGCCCTCGAAAGTGGCGACAGCTTCGCAGGTCGCAGCCCCCCAGGGACGGCGAGGTCTCGCTCAGATCTGCGAAGTGCCTCACTCCGCTGGACCCACCAGCAGCCTTCGAAAGTGGCGACAGTTTCGCAGATCGCAGCCGCCCTCGTCGGCGAAGAGAGGGCAGGAGGAGGCGGGGGGCGGGAGGAGGAGGACGCGACCACACCGCTCTATTCGAAACGAATACCCAACCAAGGAGGGTTGGGAAAATTGGTCGCGGGCCTCACGAACATGACTCCAGACTTTGCCCCGAAGTGTATAGTGTATTTATTTGTTGACACGGATTGTGGGGGGCGCATCGGATTGATTGTGCATGCTCCGAATTAGGAGGCAGAGTGTGTGTTCGTTATGTTTTTTTGACAAGGATGGTTGGGGGGGCGATCATGGGGTCATCATTGTTCCTGGTTTATTGCCGGTCGCTTGGGGGAGGGGGTGTACATTAATAGGGAGCAGTGATAAAGCCGTCCCCCGAGCAGGGGGAGAAATACTCATGGAAGAAAACAGACAAAACTACGTCCAGGGGGCTGGTGGGATAACAGAAACCCTGCTAGGCAGTATTTGACATTCTACTACGCCTCAACGTGCACAAGGCACGGTGGCGGATAGATTTCGAGTCGCATCAGTGACAGAGTGCGGAGGAGACGGGGAGAAGGAGGGGTGGACGAGGAGGAAAGGATGAAGAGGTGGAGGAGGAGGAGGAGGAGGAGGAGGAGGAGGAGAGGACGAGAGGGGCGAGGAGCAAGGCAAGGGAGGACGAGGGATGAGGGAGGAAGAGGGAGGAGTAAGAGGAGGAGTAGGAGGAGGAGGAGGAGGACAAGGAGGAGAAGAGAGGATTCCGAGAGGATGTAGAAAGGAAGGAAGGGCGTGATAAGGGAAACGAGGAAAGAAGGAGGAGGAGAAGGAGGAAGGGGAGTAGGAAGAGGAAGGGGAGAAGGAGGAGGAGGAGGAGGAGGCTGAGAAATTCTTCGCAGGCAAACAGAATGCTCGTCCCCCTTCGTTTGTGACCCTCAGGTTCGGAGTCCACGACGCACACGCGGACGCGCCGTTGACACGGTCGCCTCCAAAGTATTTGTTCAGCGACCATATGGGGATGCGCTGGGAGATTCTCATACGGGAGTTGCACGCGTTGCATGAGGATGTCATTATGTCATTTGTCGGGTCGTTCCGCCGTCGTTCCCTCCATATCTCATCTTGGTACATAGGTTCGCCAATCCCTGGAGACAGCGTCAATTTGGTGTCTGGGCCCCTCGGTACTCACTCATTCACTTAGTATTGCAGGCGGGGAGCTCCAAGGGACCTGAAGACACCTGAGCGCATGCCTCTTGGCAAGTTGGCGATATGCTATATTTACATATGCATAGATACACAGGTGTGTATATATGTATATACATGTGTACACAGATACGAGTGTTTACAATATGTACATACACACATTTACACACATGTATGTGTGCACATGTACGTGTAATTCCAGGTATATACACATATGTGTATCTCCTGTTATATAGTTACATCTACATATGCATCTATATATATAGAGAGAGAGAGAGATCTTGGGGAACGTGGCCAGGGGGGTTCAGCCTAGGGACCTCGGGACCTAGTTGTTTCCACGTTTTCCTCCATGCAGCCTGTTCTGCATCACCACGCTGCACGGCAGGGCAGCCCCAGAGGACGCCCAAACCGTCTCGGTTTGGCTCCAGAGGCTGCCAACATTGCCCCCTGATGGCACCGCATGGGAGGGTCGGCGCGCCCCAGTAGGGTCACAAAGCGGGGTCCCGCCCAGGGACCTCGGCGGCGCATGGGAGGCCCGTGGACTTATTTTGCTTTTGTTTTTGCAAGTTTTCGGCGACCCAAACCCAACAGAACCCCAAGAGGTTGCAGGGAGCTCCTGGGGCTGCTCCCGCCTGGTGCCCCAGGTCTTCCACAGGCCCCCCAGAGGCCTCCGGGAGAGCTCCCCAAAGTTCAAGCACATGGTTTTCCCATAGTTTTTGTTCCGCGTTTTTCTCCATTCAGCCTGTTCTGCATCCCCACGCTGCACGGCAGCCCCAGAGGACGCCCAGTCTGTCCCGGTTCGGCCCCAGAGGTTCCCAAGTTCGTCCTAGAGGTCCCCAAGACTGCCCCGCTGCGGCTCCAGAGGCTCCGAACCGTGCCCTATGATGGCACCAGAGGCGCCCTGACGGCTGAAGCGGCGCCAACGGGGAGCCCCGAACACCCCAACACGGCCAATTAGGGCCACAAGAGAGGCCTGGGGGCCTTTGCGGTCGCCAGGGGTGGTCTCGACATTGCTGATTGAGTCTCGACGTCCCACGACCGAGCCAAAGACTTGTCACGGAACCCAAAGGACGGGGAGGATGAGGACGAGGACAAGGAGGAGGGGAACGATGAGGACGAGGAGGGGGGAGGAGGAGGAGGAGGAGGAGGCGGAGGAGGAGGAGGAGGACGAGGACGAGGAGGAGGAGGAGGAGGACGAGGAGGACAGGTTGGAGGAGAACGCGGAGGAGGAGGAGGAGGAGGAGGAGGAATAGGCACGAGGGGGAGGGGGTGGGGGTGCCTCCTCCTCTGTGTCGTCGTTGTCGTCGTCTTCCTCCTTCTCCTCCTGCTCCTCCCCCTCCTTCCCCTGATCCTCCTGCATACCATGCTGCTGCTGCTGCTGTTCCTCCTGCTCCTCCTCCTACTTGTCCTCCTGCTCCTCCTCTCCCCCCCTGCCCTCCCCCATCCCCCCCGTCCTCCTCCTCCTTCTCCCCCTCCTGCTCTTGCTCCTCCTCCTGCTCGTACTCCTGCACCTCCTCCTTTGATGCTGCTCCTCCTCCCTTGTTCCTCCTCCTCCTCCTCCTCCTCCACCTCCTGCCTTCCTCCTCCTGGGCCCAAAGCAGCCAGCCCAACTGGCCGACAAAACGGCCCGTGACACTTCCACGTTGCGGCTCCGCTGCGGCCGCGCGCGGCAAAGCGCGCGGCGGAACTCGCGGCAGTTCCAGTTGTTCCTCGTCCTACTCCTCTTCCTCCCCCTGCTCCAACTCCTCATTCTGCTCACGCTGCTGCTTGTGCTGCTGCTGCGCATTTCTTCCTTCTCCTCCGCTTCCACCTCCTCCTCCTCCTCCTCCTTCCGCCTCCTCCTCCCTTCCACCTCCTTCTCCTCCTCCTCCTTCCGCCGTTCCTCCTCCTCCTCCTCCTCCTCCTCCTCCTCCTCCTCCTCCTCCTCCTCCTATTCCTCCTCCTGCGCCTCCTCTTCCTGCCGGCAGCGCAGTGCGAGAAATCCAAGGCTCCAGGAGGGTCGGCCGTCAGGACCTTCTGGAACGAGATCTTCCGTCGATGGCACTGCTTGCCGTGGCATCCTTTGGCGCCATGATGCCGCGACTAGAACTTAAGCGCGCGCGCGTAGCGCGCGCGTGGTTCTACTAGGCGAACGTGTATTTACATGTGTATGAGAGAGAGGGGGAGAGAGAGAGAGAGGAACAAAAACAAAAGAAGAGAAAATGAGTGTGAGAGAGAGAGTAGGCCCCGAGTGGGTCCCGATCGGTGCCTCTGCGCGGCACGGGAACCAGACGAGCCTGGACCCGCCAAAAAGGTTCCAGAGGGGGACCTGGGGCCACCACCAGAAGGGATCCTCAAGGGGCCAGAAAACACCAAAACGGTCCCAGCACGCAGGCCATTGCATCGAGACGGCTAACGTGGCTTCCGAGACGCCCCAAGAGAGCTTCAAGCTGATCCCCGACAGAGGCCGAGGGTTCAAACATCATTGATTTCCATACGGTTGTTCTAGGTTTTTCGCGTGGTCGTCTGCTCCGCTGCCCGACGGCCGGAGACGGCACAAGACGCCCCCGAGAGGGCCCCAAGACACCTGAAGAGGGCGCCAAGACGGCCAAAGAAGTTCCCGAAATCACCCGAGAGGGTTCCGGGCGGCGCCCAAAATGAGCTCGGACATGCCACGAGGGTCCTGAATAAAGCCCACAGAGCCCCATGACGGCCCCAGCACGCCCATCATTGCTCCGACGCGGGCTCAGGTAGCATCCGAGGCGCACCGAGAGAGCTTGAACCTGATCCCCGAGAGAGTTCCCAGGGGGCGACAATCATTGATCCCCCGTGGGTGTGTCAAGGATTCTCGCGTTGTCGCCTGCTCCCCTGCTCGACGCGCGGAGACGGCGCAAGAGGCGCCCAAGAGTGCTCCAAAACACCCCAAAACGGGCGCCATGACGGCCCACGAAGCGCCCAGCATCGCCCAAACGGTCTCCAGGTGGCTCCCTCAAGGAGCTTGGACACGCCACGAGGGCCCTCAAGGAGGCCCACAGGGCCCCAAGACGGCCTCAGCACGCCCACCATCGCTCCGATGCGGTCTATGAGGCATCCAGGACTGGCCCAGAGGGCTCTAAATTGCGCCGTATCACTTTTTGTTCAAACCATCTGGGGTCAAGCCAGTTTGGCTTCAGCCGCGCTGGCTGTACAGATTTTGATTTGAGGCGATTTCCCAGGCAAGCGCCAAATACTGCGCGCGCTGGAAATCGCGGGCGTTCCTCGCAGCCACATGCAGGCGAGAGGCCGATGGCCACGACGTTTGGCCGCCCGCCCGCGCGGGGCTTCCCTTGGCACAGCATGGCTGCCGACGCTCTGTTCGCGCACCCGGCCGCGCGCATTCGTTTTCATCTTCTGCGGAGGCGCGGCGAGTTACGCCGCGGGTTCCACGCGCGCTGGCGACCAGGAGGCCCGCGACGCATTTAGGTTGTTTTTGTTTGCGTCGTTGCTTTCAACGCGCCTACCCTTCTGTTCACGGCCTGGTTCATGGGCGAATGGCGCCGTCTTCAGAAGGGGCACTTGATGTTTCAGTGGGCGGGATGTTTTGGGCACGTTTCTGCTTTCTGCCCAGCAGTTCGCCTTTTCGCCCCGCGGCTGCAGACCTGCCACCGAGATGGCCCTGCGGCTCGCGCTAGCTTTTGATGGGATATCTGGTCTAGAGCGTCTGTAATTTCATGGTTCATGGCGTGGGTGCTGCGCGCGGTCCGGCTCAAGGCCTCGGGGCGCAAGCGGTCGGCACAGGTCGTGCAGGTCTTTGCCTTCGCAGGGCTTCTTCGCGTCTTCCTGATGGGTGTGCAGGCTGAGAATCCACGGGGAACGTCTGGCCATCGGGCCATCGACCCGCCACTGATCATATCATTATGTGTTGGCTCGGGCTTCTTGGGGCTGGCTCTCGCCATCGTTGTCTCGGAATTGTTCTTCGCCGCCGCGAGGGCAGTGCGCTTCGCCAGCAAAGCTGAGACGATAGCTGGTGCGTGCGATGCTGCGACGGCTGCCTCTATCTTCGTTTATTTCGCTCTCCTTCTTCCCTTGTGCGGCGCTGCAATTCTCGGGTGACCTCGAGGGCATGCGAGGTCGACCGGATGCAATGCGACTTGTTCGACCAACAGTATTTCGAGGGCGAGGGCGGGCACGTGGGCCACCAGGTCATCGCGGTCTGGCTCGACTACGTGCCGAATTGTGGCCAGATGGGGGACCTGTGCCTGCTTCGAGCTCATCGGGCACTGACGGCGTGGGACAAGTAGGCCCAAGGCTTCTCGCGCCTACTGGAGGCCTTCGAGGTTTGGGCGGCTCTGCTCGCCGCGCTGATGAGGGAGCAGGCCGAGAAACGGTGGATGATGGCGCTGGAGCTGCTCATGATGCTGGGTACCTACCCGCTCCCCGACGAGACGCGCGGTCTGCGCGCTCGCCAGTTGGTGGGCCCAGCTCGCAACGTCGAGCGTCATTGGGTGTTCGCGTTCAGGCCAGGGGGGGGGTCGCGCCCTCGCCAAGCTCGGCCGCTTCGACGACGCGGTGGAGTCGGACAACCCGATGGGCGGGCGCCTTGTTAATGAAGTTCAAGGAAGTGAGGGGCACCGAGGATCTGCCGCGGAAGTGCAGCTGCAAGGTGTTCGCCAAGACGGCGCAAAGGGCAGCGACCGACACCGGGGCGCCCCACACGGGTGCGCACCCGGCCCGTCGCAGTGGGACGTCCATCGACGCCCGCAATCACTCCGATTCGGAAGCGCGGAAGTTGGCAGAGCACGACCAGCGCGATGCGATGCGAGGAGGTGGGCGCACGGCGGCGGAGCCTACCCAACCTTTCAGAGACTACGCAGCGGCATGCTCGAAGCACCTCCAGGAAAACTTCGCGTGCCAGCAGTCGTCCTCTTTGAAGCCGACCCTTCCAATGGCTCGCGCGCGGCGGACGTCTTCCTGGGCCGTGGCCGCTCCGCGGCGGCCATGGAACGGCCGGGCGGAGTTCCTGCGCCGATTGTTGCCACGCACGGGCCCGCCCATGACTTGACCGAGAGAGAGAGAGAGAGAGAGAGAAAGATAAAAAAAAATATTTATTTTTTTTTTAAAAAAAAAAAAAAAAAAAAAAAAAAAAAAAAAAAAAAAAAAAAAAAAAAAAAAAAAAAAAAAAAAAAAAAAATTGATTGCCCGCCTGCATGATCCAACAGATGCAGGTGCTTTTGACAGGTTGCCCCTGCGTCGCGTTCTCCATGGCCCGGCGCGGCCGCCCCAACCCCCTCGGCGCGCGAATTCGCCCCCCTCGAGGCCGCGGGGCTGAGCCCGGCAGGCCGTGAGAAGGTGGAGGTAGGGAGTTGTCTCCCGAGATGTTCTCTCCGAGTGAGTCTGATTTGTCGGAAGCTCAGCCAAATCTGCATCATCGGGGATCCACGGGCATCAGTTTCCCGGCGGCGCCCAGGACTCAAGAGGGCCCACAAGTTGCCCAGAGTTGACACCAGGGCCACTCACGTGCGCGCGGGCAACAGAGCGGCACAAGGCAACGCGCATCTTCAGTTCTTATGCTGGAAGCGACGCTCAACGGCTGGAGAAGAAATGCCCCAGTCGCGGCTTCTGTAGCATAACCCAGGAGCCTTGCAAGGCACCCGAGGGAAATTGCCCAGGTGTTTTTGCATATAAAAAATCACCCTCGTTGCACAACCGCGCCTTCGGTCTCTCTGCGCATCACTTGCTAGGATTGTCAAGCGTTTCACTGAAACGGCGCGCGCGCGTGAGATCCAGGTGTCTTCTCAGCGATTTCGGGTGGTTTTCAGCTTCTGTCGCGCGCGCGCCCTAGTCTCGCGCGACAGCGCGCGCGGCGAGGGCCCCGGGGCCCTGCCATGTGAGCTCCAGGCCTGACGTCGCTACAAACCTAGGTGCTGAGTGAAACTGGCCTGGGCGCGCGGGCGCATCGATGACATTCAGAAAAGGTTCGGTGATATGTCGTCTCTGCAGCCTCATCTCTAGCCCCCAACCCTCCCGCCCCTGTACAGGGTGGCTCTCAGCTTTTGTCGCGCGGGCACCTTGGTCTCGCGCGACAGCGTGTGTGGGGAGGGCCCCTACCTCAGGAACTCGAGGCCTGACTTCTACAGAATTTGCCGTTGAGTGGACAATGTGAAATCACTCACCGATTTGGGCCTTGTTGCGGGCTCTTTCTGGAGGACCTCTTGGAGTCATCTCGAGCGTTTTTGGAGGCCTCTTGGGGGCCTCTTGGGCCGTCTTGGGCTGAGTTGGAGGCTTCTTGGGTGGACTTGGAGGCACCTCGAACACTCGCGGATTGTCTGGGAAGCCATTTTGGACCATCGTGGGCGAATGCGTGGGCCATGTCTGTTGTCTTTTGCGACGTCTTGGGGCCATATGGAGCAGGAAAAAACGTTTGCAGCCGGGGCGAACGCAGCCTTCCGCGTGGCTGGCGGCGTGGACCGAAGCCCCCGGGGGGGGGCAGTATCCCTGGAAACAGCAAACCCAAGTTATAGGATCTAGCGCGCCAGGCACCCTTTGTGGTAAATCAGTTGGGGCGGCGGATCGAATGGCCTTCGGCCCACCCAGCCACCGTGCCTGAGCTGCGGGTATAAAGTGTATTGGATGTTCGTCGGGATCTCGTGGGTGGGGTAGCCCCTCGGGGGCCTTTTAGCGGCAGTTCTGAAGCTTCTCGGGGGGCGCTTGGGAGCCTCATGGGGCCTCTGGGGGGTTTCTTTGGAATCTTGTGGGGTTGCGCTTTTTCGGGGACCTTGCGGGGTCCGCTCGGGCTGTTCTGGGTGCCCCTTGGGGCGGAATGGTAGGATTTTTTTTTGTTTTTTTTTTGTTCCTCCTTTTTTGTCAGTTTGTTTTTTTTGTTGTTGTTTTTGTGTTGTCTCTCTCTCTATCTCTCTTTCTTTCTCTCTCTTTCTCTCTCTCTCTCTCTCTCTCTCTCTCTCTCCCTCACTCTCTTTCTCTCTCTCTCTCTCTCTCTCTCTCTTTGTTGTTCTCTCTCACTCTCTCTCTCTCTCTCTCTTTTTTTTTTCTCTCTCTCTCTCTCTCTCTCTCTCTCTCTCTCTCTCTCTCTCTCTCTCTCTCTCTTGGGCAACTTTTGGGATCGTCTCGGGGCTCTCTTGGACCGTTTTGGGCGCCTCCTGGGCCGCCTTGCGGCGCTCTTAGGCCGCTTCGGGTCACTCTTGGACCGTCTTGGGGTGGTTTTGGGAGCTTTCTGGGCCGCCTTGGAGCGTCGGAAAGCCGGAAAGGCGAGAACGCCAGAATCCTTCAACAACCTTTCTGGGAAATCAGTGAGTTTTGCCTGTTGGGGCCCTCTTGGGGGGCCTCTTGAATGAAGCCATCTTGTGTCGTCTTGGAGGCCTCTAGGGCTATCTTGAGATCATCTGGGGCATCTTGGAAAGCGTTCGACGATTTGGGGCCATCTTAGCTTAATGGGAGGGTTCAGGAGGTCGCCCGGGGCTGAGGCGCGGCGCCCACAAAACTGCAGGAATCACCTCAGAGCTCAGAAGGGGGCGGCCCGGAAAAGGCGTGGCAAACGGCTTGTCCGGGCCATAAACAATTATAGTTCTCGCTGCACTAACAGCACAGCGTGCACCCCCCAATGCTGCATCAGCCCTGGGGCGTTCCACTTCGTGCCAGTGGCACGGTGGTGGATATTGCGGGGGGGGGGTAACCAGCGGGGTCGGCAATGGTCTAGGAACCCCATGGGATTTGTATTGGAAGCATTTCAAGTATTCTGGTGGGGCATGGACGTGTTTGAAGTATTCTGGTTGGAAATGATTCCGACATTCGTTCGGAATTCGCATGGGTTCTCTAGGTAGGATGTGGAAGTGTGTATAGGTTGTTTTCCCCCCAAACATGATGGATTGTGTTTGTGAGCCCTTCCCCGTCCGAGCTTTCGTCCATATCACGCAAACACACTGGTAATTTGGCAGACCATCAGGCAAGCACGCGAGCAAACATGTCGGCGCGCAGGAGCTGATGCACGTCAGCAAGTCAGCAAGTCTGCAAGCAAGCAGGCGTGCACCACCGCGAGGCACCATACTCAAACATGCCAGCGAGCGAGCGGGTAAGCGCATGCAGCCTTCCAAGCAAACGCAAAGGAAGACGTATTAACAAGCAGTAAGACTTTGCGCACACTAGAAGCACAACCATTCGTTTGCGAACACCAGCGGTCGCGAGCAATCAATTCACGGTAGTTGTTGTGGTAGCGACTCAGGTAGAGACGATTCGACTGTTTTGACCGAGTCGAAAGTGGGAGTGGGTTGCGCGGACATGCTCGCGCACGATGCCGAACCCATGACCGCCCGTTCCTGTTCGCAGTTTGCTGCGTGAGCGGCCTGTGTAAACCAGCGCGTGAGGCCGACGTGTCCTCACGCGTAAGACTTGTTCCCCTTCTCCTTCGTCACGCACGTGCTTCGTATGCGCGTAGCCCTGCACAATTCGCAATGAGCCGTTGCTGCGCATCGATAACCAGCGGCCACTAGCGCCGGGGCGGCGCAGGGCAGCTGCAGGTTGTGGAGATCGGCGTCTTCGCAGGCACCGCTGCCATCCCCCCCCTTGGTCGTCCCTCCCCGCAGACGGCGGCGCTCCTAGAGGCGAAGTGAGAGGGGGCAGGCCTTCTCAGAAGGCGGCCGGGCTCAGAAGACCTTCGAGTTTGGGCGTCTTCGAAGAAGGCTTAGAACATGTCTCTGAAGGCGCGAGGGCTCCTGAGAAACCCCACCGCCTTCCGAGAAGGCCTGCCCCCTCTCACTTCCCCCTCGGGGGCGCTGCCAAGCAGAGCCTTGCCCCGTCGGCGCGTCGGCGCGTGGGCGCTGGGGCTCAGGAGGGCCCCGAAGGGGCAACGCGATGGGAGGCTCATGGGGGGGGGGAGAAACGTTGACATGGAATCGTCGATACATCGCCGACGGATCGGCGACAGGACCCTGGTAGTGAATCCACGTTCCTGGGCAGGTTGGGCTATCGGGCCCCTGTCGGCGGGCCGTGAGCGAGTGCGGGTCGATGAATCCCCCCGTGCCCCCCCTTTCACGTTGCCCCCCAGCCCGCGTGGGCGTTGCGGCCCAAGGGTCCCTCGGCCGCTCCGTGGGCACCCGAATTCAATGATGGCAGGCGCAGGCCGTCCGCTGTGACTGCCTGGTCTGTTGGGCTGCTGCCGAGCGATCGGCCGTCTGCCGCAGCGCCGACCCGACCCGACCCCCTGGGGGCTGACACAAATTCGTGCATCTGTTCTTGTGCCCTTCGCGTGCCCGATGCGGAATCAACGCAGGTCTGGCGTGGATTCGACGCGGATACGACGCGGATTCGACGCGGATTTGACGATTGCAGCATGGAGTCGACACGGATTCGACGCGGATGGGGGCGCGACGGGACAGACAATGTCCCCCGAAAAAGCAACACAAACGGGGGAAGGCGTCTTCCTTCCTTTGCCCAGCTTCTGGTGTCCTCCCTCCCTCCCGACGCCCTCCAAAAAGGAGGCGGAGGATGGGAGAGGGGAGGAGGAGAAGGATGAGGGTCCAGAGGGAGACAGAGGGGGTAAGAGGGGGGGAGGAGGAGGAGGAGGAGGAGGAGGAGGAGGAGGAGGAGGAGGAGGAGGAGGAGGAAGAGGAGGAGGAGGAGGAGGAGGAGGAGGAGGAGGAGGAGGAGGAGAGGAGGAGGAGGAGGAGGAGGAGGAGGAGTGTGGCTTCAGTTGGCTGTGCTGTGTTGTGGGTGGTCATTGAGGGTATTGGTGAACTTCTCCTTGCCCTCCCTCCCTCCCTCATCTTCCCCCCCCCCCTCCTCCGTCACCCTCTCCCCTTTTCCAGGCCCTCTGGAGAAGTGAGGATTAGGAAGGAAGGGCAGAGGATGATTTAGGAGGATAAAAAGAGGATGGAGGGGGAGGGGGGGGGATGAGGTGCAGGGAGGCCTCTCCCCTCTCCCCTCCTGGTCCTACTACCTCTCCTCGTTCTCCTCGTCGTTGGTGTCCTTCTCGTTTTCCCCTCCCTCCCTCCCACTCAACAGTGGCGACGTCTGCGGATGCGCACCAAGAAACCGATCGCATTTTGCAAGGACGCTCTGGGATCCTTGGCTTCCATGATGCCTGCAATCTGCAGTGAGAGTCCCAGGGGACACCATCGAATTCCCTGGGATTCAGGGTCTGCCTCCTTCTAGAGATGTTTGTGCCCAAAGTGCTATCGCGGGTAGCTCGTCCTACCCCTCACGCCTACGGGGAACCCCCTCCCTCCTCAATTCCTCGGAGCCCGTCGCTGATCCCCCCCCCTCCTCACAACCCGTGCGGCCCGAAGCTGCCCCGTCTTCTCGGGAGCCTCTCGCTCTCCGCTCGGCGAGGCATCTGGGCACCCCGCGAGAGCAGCAGGGCCGCACAATTGCTCGACATCCTCGCGTCGTAAAAATAAGCCACGACGAAATGTGATTACTCCAGATTTCGTAATACAAGGGAGGGGGTCTGGACCCTCCAAGACAAGCCATTTCAGACCTCCCCCGTGGGAGAACCCTCCAAAACATCGTCCTCAGACCCCCCAGGCCCTCCAAGATAGCCTGGAAGAGACCCCCCGAAATGAGACCCCCCTCCCCGTATTACGAAATCTGGAGTAGCCGTCTTCGGTCTCCAGGACCTCCGCCCGGCCCAGGGGACCGTCAGAAAAGACCTCGGGGGTTGAGCCATCGCGCCCGAAGGCGGGTCCAGCCCTCCTGGGGTGCCACGCTATGAAAACATGTATGGCGTCGGCTGTATGGGAAGGGAGGGACTGGGAAGGGGGGGGGGTCAGCAGGGAACCAAAAACACACAGACACAATGAATCGTCGACTCCCGAGAAAATATAGGAAAATATGGGAAGTGGGGGGGAAGACCAAAACCCAGAAAATAGAGGAAAGGATGGGACATCCTGTTGCTTGTGTCTATTTGTTTGCGTGTCCCGGGGCCCCTTCAGGGGGGTGCGATTTTTGTTGCGCGCAGCTGATCTCAGCCCCGCCGCCAGGCCCTCGATGCGTGGCGCACCCGGCGCTGGAATGCGCCTAGGAAAACAGCCAGCTGTGCGAACGGATTCGCTGACCCCCCGCCCTGTTCGTCTGCCCCGATCCTCTATCCCAAACCACCCCTCCGCTGTGCGCTTTGCTCGTGGCGTCCAGACTGGAACTCGTGCTCCAGGGCTGCCCGTGGAGTGAGATGCGTGGCACAACAACATGCACCACCACCGCCTCCCACCCTCTCCGTAAAGAGGGGAGTAAGAAGGGTGGAGGAGAGAGGGGCACTGGAGGTGGTGGTTGTGTTGTTCGTACGATCCGTATGAGGGGGAGCGGGCGGCAGGAAGGGGGGGCGTCAGGGCGGAGTACTGGAGATCGTCGGCAGGCTCGTGCTGTTCGGACGCATCGGCTGCGCGGGCGTGGGCGCAGATGTCGGGGGTGTCGGGGAGGGTGGTGAAGACTAGGTGCGTGTGTGTGAATATCATGGCCAGTGCCGTGATATCTCCCAGATTTCATGCCACCCTCTTCGTCTTGGCTTGCATGTCATGTTCCCCCTCGTCCGTGCAGATGCCTCAGGCCATGATGCGCTGGCCCCCTCTTCTGGGCCCCTCTCTCCGACGCGCCCGACGTGTATTGTTGAAGGCTCCGGAGACCCCAGGTCAGGCTCACGCCGTGATAGAGCTAGAGCCCAATCCGTCCAGGCAGGAATTTGCCGTTTGCCGTATTGGCACATCGAATCCATATGTTGATGGTTGAAGGTATCGTCTCGGACCTGCTGCTGAAGGGCTGCGATTTCATCCGCCTCATCGGAATCGACCCCTACATCGGGGGCGACGACACGTTTGGTACCTAGTGCCGTGCCCGAGTTGCTTGGAGATGTCTTCGCCTAGCGCTTGGCAGTAGACGAGACTTGCTTCGTTCGGGGTCTAAACGCCTCCAAGCGTAGAGACTTGGATTAGGCTACGAGCTACGATTGGTTTGTAGCATATGTCACAAGTTGTGCAATGTTTGATCAGGATGAGGAATTGCGGTAGTTTTGCGGAGGGTTGAGGGCTCGTGTATCCAATTGTTTGCCGCAATGACCGCAACCGTGCTTGAGAAGCGCAGCATGAAAGAAATTGTCAGATCCGCTCCAGTTCAGCACCCTGTTGAAATTGGCGCGAGTCTTAAACACATCCTCCTTGTCCGCAGCCTCGCTATCGCCCTCCTCTTCCTTTATCTTCCAGACTTCTTGAACCACCGTTCTTCTACAAATCTTCCCTCACCATCAAAGGTATAATTCCCTAGGCGGAAGGCGGTGCTTTTCTAAGCGAGCGGAGTGAGACTTTGCAAAAGCAGCGATTCTATCAGGAGCAGCCCAGGACACATCCTCACCACAGTCTAGTGCTGTACTGTACATCCTTGGGCATCAGGTTGTTACAGTCACGGCGCCCGCAAACCAGACGCCGCTCCCTAGGCCCTAGTTAGGATATTGTCTTTCCGGCTCCGGTTTTCAATTTGCAACATTCCATCTCCCATTTCCGATCTCCAGACTCTCCGTATCAACGTTGGGGCACCGACGTACAGCGATTCACCATCGTTCACACGACTGCAAGGGCATTGGCGACGCTTCGGCGACCGAGCTTGAATGGACGTTGGTCGAGCGTCCGCATCTTAAATGCTCTTCTTTGGTTTTAGGAGGTGTGAGAGGTGGAGAGGGGTGCTCGACGGGGAGCAGGAGGGTGACGACGAGGTCAGGGATCAGAAGGAGGAGATGGCGGGTGGCACGAGGAGGAGGGGTTGGTGTCTTGACAAGGACTTCGCGTGATTTCCTGATTGTTTTGTTTGCTGGCTTGGGATGTTCACAGGGATGGATAAGCATGTACGCGACATTAATGGAGAAGTTTGGCGCAAACGACTTACAATCAAATCGGCGCTAAGGTTTCCTGGCAACTATTCTCACACGCTCGACTCCAACGTGGCCCTGTACAAGGCCTTGTAATTGCATTGAGCATGTAAACCGCATGCCGAATTCGGGGCATCTGAAGTCTGCATCGGATACTATGACAGTCCGCACAGGACATGGTAGTTTTATGTTGAGCCGACGCTTCGAATTCTGGTATGCTGACGTTTACCCCAATTGCGGCTTATCGATCCTATGCCGTATGCCATGGTTTCCGTCGGCGTCGATGGCGTCCCAGGATCGCGCCCAGATATTTGTCGTCGAGTTGGTCAGATCCGAGTCGATTGTTGCAGTGAGGGGTAGTGGAGAGGAATTGTTGTTCACGGTGCGATCGACTCTATGATGAGTGTTTTTGTGTGCGCCCGTTGTCAGTCGATCATCTCTTCCGCGTCTGGGATTCGATTCGATCAGTTCGTTCATTGCAGTTCCCACACCCACCCATTGCCCTTTCTCCCTCATTCCTCCTTGGCCAGCTCCCCTTCCGCCTTCAACTTCACCACTTCCCTCCTCCTTTCCCCCTCCGCCTTATCTGCCGCCTTCATGTGGAATCCATCCTTCTTCTTTGTCATGTTCGTCTCTGTCGTCTTCATTCCTCCTTCCCTCGTATTGGTCGTCGTTCTCCTGATCTCCCTTCTGCATCTCTCGTGCACATGTTCACACTCTCCCCTTACCGCCTCCCCACCTCCCCCTCCTCTGATCCATCTCGGCTGGCTCCTCCTTCTCTTGGAGCCCCAAGATCCACCGACAACCCTCATGCGCATGAGACAACTTCAAACCTCTAATATATTTCTGCTCTTTATCTCCAGTGCAGTCAGGTCGCCGCCTAACCAGAACAGGGGCAGGCAGGGACATGCGGAGCGGGAGGGAAAACACATACATGGGTGGAGGGGTGGCACGTTCTGGCTGAGATTTCGAAACGTGTTTAGCCACGATCGTGACCACAACTGCGCCCCGCGAGGCTTACGAAGCTCCCAAAAGGTCCAGCAGAGGCGTCGATGATGGCGATGGGGAGGAGGACGGAGAAAAGGAAGAGGAGAAGGAAAAAGAGAAAGAGGAAAGAGAGAGAGAGAGAGAGAGAGAAAGAAAAACAAGAAAGAGAGAGAGAGAGAGAAAGAGAGAGAAAGACGGAGAGAGGAGGAATACGGGGGGGGGCAGAGTGCAATAGGAGGAATGAGGGGGGGAGGTCGCTGGCAGGAGGGGTGGGAGAGAGCAGGGAGGATGGTGTAGGCGGGAGGCCGGTAGGAAGAATGGGGGGCAGGGAGGAGGAGTGCCGAGAGAAGGCTCAGCCGAGGAAGCGCAAACATGGATTTGGGTCGCGCGGATGAGCGACGGGTCCCGGTTCTATGCGAAATCGACGCGCTCCGTCGCCACACGGGCGGACGTGGCTTCGTGTTTCGAGGGGCACTCCCCCCGATCCGCGGATGTGGCTCCCACGCGCCAGACCTGCGGACCCTGAACCATCACAGCGATCGCCCGACTCAGTGAAGAGCGGGGCAAGGGGTCAGAGTCAAGAACGGGTGCCTCTCTGATTTTGCAGCGCACCCTCCTGTCCCAAGCCCCCTCCTCTCAGTATCGTTTATGCGATCCCCATCCCCATCCCCATCCCCTTCGAGACCCCCACCAAAATTAACACCCCAGTTGGGGAGACACCCCTCGAAACCCGAAGGGAACGGCCTATGTCCCCATCTAGGGGGGTAAATCGGCCAGTGGGGCCCAGGCCACGCCGCTGGGGATGGGGATCGGTTTCAACGAGACTCGTGCCCACAATTCCCGGCAAGCCTTCCTATCCACCGCAAGACGCGCCCCTGTGAAAGACAAGCCCCTTGGGCGGCCTGCCATTCGGGCGAGGGCCCCGGTTGTAACTGGAACTGCCCGGCTCCCTCGAGCAAACGACACGGAATGCAAAAAGGGAGCAGCATAACGTTCAATTCGGCCGGATGGCGATGGGGGGATCAGGACATGGGGGGATGAGTATCCGGTACCGTTGTGTTGGAGTACAATTTGTATCTTCTCTTCGGGTTGCAAGTACAAATTGTACCTTCTCCCCCCCCTCGTTAACATCCTCGCACATGTCGCGGACGTTGTCAAAAGTACAATTTGTACCTCGTCTGCGTGGCGTCGGTACAAATTGTACCGTCTCCGTGGGGCGTAGGTGCAATTTGTACCTCGGTTGCGCCTCTCTCCCCATCTGGACTTATCCCCCCATTTGCATCCCGCCAATCAACGAGATGTTCGGTGATGTTCTCTGTTTTGGTCAAGTCTGAGGAGGTCTGCAGCCGAGAGCTCCGTCTGAATAGGAACGATTTTCCACCCGTGCAGTCGTTACACATGTAGGCTGGATATTCTAGTTTGTAGGTTCAGAGAAGTCTCGAGCGCGAGTCCCACTCTGAAAAGGAACCGCCCTCCATCGCTGTAGCTGCTGCGAACTTGTAAGACGAATGTGCCCGGCGCTCAGGCAAGAACCACATGTTGAAGACAATTTGGCTTCTGTCCTTGAAGATCTTGCAGGTTATCAGACGGATTTGCGCGGCGTTAAGGCGATAACCCTATCCAGAATGTGATCCTTCTCCACCTCGGAAGCTGTTGCACATTTCCATGCGGACGTGTGCGGCGCCGAAACGAGAGCCGCAATCAAACAGCGACCGCTCTCATCCCTGAAGTTGTTATGAACTTCCAGACGCATGTGCGCGACTCTAGGAAGAGAGTCGCATGTTGAACACCACCGCGCCCATCTTTGAAGCTGCTGTGAATGCGCGGCGCTGAGGCGAGAAGCGCGGTTTTGGAAACATTCGCCCCTCCGTCCTTGGAGCAGCTGGAGGATTCTCCATGCACAGCCTGTCGCAAGAGCCTGTCGCAAGACTCCTACGTAGCTGTTCACCACCCACCAAACCACCCCAACCCAACCCGAAGGCCCAAATTTATCCTCGATTTCCAGTGGGGGGGGGGGTCGGGGAACGTTGAGAAAACACATGGTATCCGTACCCCCCCCAACCCGAAATTCGGGTCAAATTCGGGTCTTCGGGTTGGGTTGGGGTGGTCTGGTAGGTAGTCAGCTGTGTGTCCAGGAGACCCCGTGAGCCCTTGCGGATCTCCAGGATCGGTGGGCCGCGGTCTCCCGCACGGTGTTGTCCTGTATGGGCGCCCGCCTGGTCTCCGGGCTGGTCTCCCGTACGATCCAAGAGGCCTGCGCCAGTCTGCCGACCCCCAGAGGCGGGGAGTCCACGGCTGACGCGTACGGTAGGTTTGCGTCGTGTCGACCGGCGGCGACCCCAGCGCGGGCGCTCAAGGTTGAACGCCGACGGCGGCCCAGAATCGTTCGATGTGGAACGATTGGACGTTGCGGAGACGGCAGATCGTTCAAGGTTGAGCGATCCCTGCGGTGTCAAGAACCAACGCTGGTGTCGGCACGACACGAACCTGCCGTAACGGGTTTCTTGGGCACTCTCTGGAGACTCGTGTGGGCGTCTTGGGAACTGTTTGGGGGGCCTTGTTGAGCCACTTGGGGGCCGTTTTGAAGCGTCTGGGGGGCCGTCTGGGGGCCTCTCTTGGGGACCTCTTGAGGCTTATTGGGAGCCTCTTTGAGGCCGCTCGGGGGCTTCTGGGAGCTTCTGAGCAAGAGGCAGACAGATCGGATTTTCGGCTCGTGCTCTCCCTCTTGGCCTCTCGTAGGGCCCTCTTGTGGTGATATGTAGCCATCTTTGGCCCCTCTTAGGGCCGTCTTGGAACCCTCTTGGACCGTCCCGGGGCCCTCGTAGGGTCATTATGTGGTGTTGGATCCTCGTTTTGAAGAGACGGTCCCCGCGTTCCTCCTCCTTCCCGCCCTCCTCCCCCTTCTCCCTCCTCCCTGCGTTTCACCCACCCAGTGAAGCGCTTCGTGGCCCCATAGGGAGCTCCACCGAAGGCCCCACTGGCAGGGTTTGCACGGCGGCCCCGCGTTTTGGCGCACCCCTCACACGGTGCGTGGCCCAATAGGGAGCTCCACCGAAGGCCTCAGTGGCAGGGTTGGCATGGCGGCCTCGCCCCATTTTGGCGCGCCCCTCACACGGTTCGTGGCCCCATAGGGAGCTCCACCGAAGGCCCCAGTGGCAGGGTTCGCATGGCGGCCCCGCGTTTTGGCGCACCCCTCACACGATTCTGGGCCCCATAGGGAGCTCCACCGAAGGCCCCAGTGGCAGGGTTCGCATGGCGGCCCCGCGTTTTGGCGCACCCCTCACACGATTCTGGGCCCCATAGGGAGCTCCACCGAAGGCCCCAGTGGCAGGGTTCGCATGGCGGCCCCGCGTTTTGGCGCACCCCTCACACGATTCTGGGCCCCATAGGGAGCTCCACCGAAGGCCCCAGTGGCAGGGTTCGCATGGCGGCCCCGCGTTTTGGCGCACCCCTCACACGGCTCGTGGCCACATAGGGAGCTCCACCGAATGTCCCAGTGGCAGGGTTCGCATGGCTGCCCCGTTCATTTTCGCGCACCCGTCACACGGTTCGTGGCCCCATAGGGAGCTCCACCGAAGGCCACGGTGGCAGGGTTGGCATGGCGGCCCCGCCTCATTTTGGCGCACCCCTCACACGGTTCTGGGCCCCATAGGGAGCTCCACCGAAGGCCCCAGTGGCAGGGTTGGCATGGCGGCCCCGCCCAGTTTTGGTGCACCCCTCACACGGTTCGTGGCCCCATATGGAGCTCCACCGAAGGCCACGGTGGCAGGGTTGGCATGGCGGCCCCGCTCCATTTTGGCGCACCCCTCACACGGTTCGTGGCTCCATAGGGAGCTCCACCGCAGGCCCCAGTGGCAGGGTTCGCATGGCGGCCCCGCCTCATTTTGGCGCACCCCTCACACGGTTCGTGGCCCCATAGGGAGCTCCACGGAAGTAATACTAGCACTACTGCTACTACTACTACTACTACTACTACTACTACTACTACTACTACTACTACTACTACTACTACTACTACTACTACTACTACTACTACTACTACTACTACTACTACTACTACTACTACTACTACTACTACTACTACTACTACTACTACTACT